CTTAATTTAGGTTTACAGACGATAACCATGCAATGAGATGAGGTAACATAAACCATAGATTTATCTGCGGAATATCATTACATTATTGTTACATAATTATAATGAAATCATCAAGATTTTTTTTTTGTCAAAAGCATTTTATTTTTGGTTGTATAGTAATTTAAACTATTCCTTTTTAGAGGCTTTATTTTAGAAATGGAATAAGATCATTGTAAATTTCAGAATTTCGCTACTGCCTACCAAAATATAAAAAAATACCTCCAGTTTGTCAAACTTAGGAAACTTAGCATTGCAGCCAAAATATTCTAAAATCCTGCCAATAATAAAGGAGAAAATGAAAAATACCTAACAACGAATCGAATATAGCATCAAAATTTATATCATTTTTATTTATTTGTTATGTAACTAAATAGATAATTGTCAACAATGTTTCCGTAAAAATTAATATTTCTTGTAATAGATTCTTAATAAATATTGTTATTGTTATTATTTTACTTAAGTGTAAAGTAGTCCTGCATTTACAATTGCTTATGGCTAACCATGAAAAGAAATGTTGATCAAAATTGCCTAAAACTTTTAAGGGCATATTGCCGCAAAATTATCAAATGTTAAATACGCCCCTCCTCTGCTGAACGTGTTATATAAAAGACACCTCAAAAATGGATGCGTTTTGGGTTTTTTTTTAAAAATGCCAACAATCAGAAAAGTATCTGATTTAAATGAAATTTTCAGAATTATTCTTTATTGAATGATTTGTATACTGAACGGTTATTGAATTTTTTTTTTTTTTTTTTAAACGGTGTAGAAATATTTTTGGCCGTCATTTACACTTCATTTTGATAAATCGGGAATATTTTCAAAATTGACGGGGGTGATGGCAATTAATTTTTTTATTTTTTTTTATTTTAGAATTTATAACGCAAAATCTCTGAATAAATTCTTGGAGTAACAAATGTATAAAATCAGAAAAAACTTGAAAAAAATTTATGTAAAAAATGTATAAAATCAGAAAAAACTTGAAAAAAATTTTTTTTTCTAAAAATTTCACCCCCAAGTAAGTCGGGGATGGCACTAGTACAATGTTGGTGGCTGGGGGAGTAAAAGGAATGGAAATGAAAGAAAAGACTTAGAATTGGGAAAATTGAGGAAAGAACAAAAGATTAACGTGATACAAGAACAAAAAAGACGTCGATTGACGATGCATTAAATCTTTGAAGATTGTATTTTTCAGAGAAGAGATTAACAGTAAAATGGTGTCATAATGAAGTAATAAACATAAAATTGTATCAGTTTTTTTTTTAATTTAGCTGATTTCATTCAAAGCGATAATTAGTGTATTTTTTAAGCATTTTACCCAAAGCAAGGCAGGAGTGCTACATGTTCGCAGGGGGTTACAAAGAATGAAGGTGAGAGAAAAAAAAAACTGTGTATAAGGGGAATGAGGAATGGATAAAAGATGAACGGTGTTTAAGACATCAGAAGATGGCGATTGACGTTGCATTTAAATTTTGGAAGATTGTCGTTATCGGGGAAGCAAGTGAGAGGAAGGGAGTTCCAATGTCGGAAAGTGAGATAATAAAAAAATCTTTTGGAGTAGAAATGGCGGTTGCATTTAACTATTTCAACAGTAAAAGGGTGTGACCTAGATGCCAATCTAGTAGCACTCTTAAGTTTATGTAGTCCGGGAACTAGGGGGAAAAGCTCGTCAGAGCAGTAGCCATGGAAATATTTGTAGAAAAAGACATAGTGGAACCACGTCACGTCGGTAAGAAAGTGACTGAAGTCGAGATGCAAAGTCGTGTTCGATTACATTACAGACCATTCTTTGGAATTTTGTCAAGAACCTCGAGAAGAATAGAAGGATCACCAGACCAGATATGGTAACAGTATTCAATGCCAGGGCGAATGGTAAATTTTAAATGTGCAAGATGGACTCTAACTTCAAGTCAGTAGAAAACGTGAGGCCAAGATGGCGCAGTGTGTTGCTCTCATGGTGTTTCTCTATATCTTTACAAAGATAATTCAATAAAACTGAAAAACTATTTTTGTTGAGAGTTGAAGCTTCCGTAATTTTATAAAACACATTATTTTCTTTCAGATTTGACAGGGGGAAAAGTCGACAATAAATATTTATTTTTTAAAAATGTAATTATAATTATTCAGTGGGCTTTTGAAATTCTTCCAATTGCTGATGACAAAATAATTTTTCTTATTAAATAAACATCTGTTTGAAAATACGAAAACACTAAAGTTTGATGTAATTTTCTCATCAGAAATATTTTAAAAATAATTCTATTTTATTTATTATTTGATAGATCATTTTTTTGTATGGAAGATCAAATAGGAAAGATTCTGAATCATTTCCCTGTCGGGAAATTGATATCTTCGTCAATAATGAGTTTCATCAGTTCACAGAAATTTTTCAACATTTAACAAACAGTTTAATGGATTTTAAAATTAGAATAATTATAGACTTCATTGGGTTCAGTTAAATATTTTATGACATCAAACAGGTAAGAAAATAAGTAAAATTAAATTTAATCAATTAAATTCAAATTTAATTAACTACTTTTTAATTAACTTCTTTTAAAATATCTAATG